GTGAATAGATTCTGAAATAACAAAAGTTTTGATTCGTTTGAGTTCTTTTAACTTTTAATTTTTTTTATTGCTATAAAGAACATACGACCGGGCAGATATTACAAGGTAAATGTCGCGAAAAAAAGTAATTATATATATACTTTTCTTTTAACCTTCACATTAACCTTCTTTACATCACGCAATTAAGTGATAGTATAGGCTAAAAAATCTATTATAAGATATCAGTGACAACCCTAACAAGCCATCCCTATTTTGTCTTTTGGCGTTCCAATTTTGTGTTTTCTCGTCTCTAATTTTTCCAGTCTCGTTCCCAATTACCCTACATACGTCCCAATTTTCCCCAAAAAGAAAGGAAAAAATATACATTTTTTATTTTGTCGAAATATTGTATTTAAAATAAGAATATTGCAACTTACCGTTTGTTGTGGTATTTCCAGGTGTATTAAAAACTTATATAAACTGTGATCTTATTGAAAAAACAACGATAATATTACTTTTTTTAAAAGTTCTTTAAGCTGTTTTAAAACTCACTTTTCAACCACTATTTTCAATTTAATTTGACGAATTTTTGGGACCAACTTAACTCATATTTAGTACTTCCATAGTTAACTCGGTTTTTCTTCTATACATTGATAAATATTAACATAAACAAAATTAGGTAGATTCCGTGCTACAGGTACTTTGAGAATCTTCCGCAGGTTTGTCCCAATTTACCCCAGGATCCCAATTTACCCCATGTCATGGTATGTAGTGTATGTAATGTTTTCTTTATTGATTTAATGTATCTTTTATGCATTATTTTAAAAAAATATTAGCATTGTGCACTTCTCTATATTCTCTACAAGTGTGGGAAATTTCATACTCCTCCGTCCGCGCAATTTTCGTAAAAAGTGATACAAAGTTTTTGCTTCACGTATTAATATGTAGATATATTATATTTTCCAACATTTAAATATTAAATGGCTCCTCTGTAATCTTGCGTAAATGTCGCATTAACTAAACAGCCTCTCATATCTCGAAGTGTGTCAATGGTTGACGCCGGTCAAGACGTTATATCGCAGATAAAATATTATTGTGACGTCGACGTATCATATTGTGTGATAAGACCATAGACCTATATAGTAGGGACACGACATATTGTTCTATACGTACAATTGCTTATATAAATAGCACCCATTTTGAAGGCACATACATAAACATATATCTATCTCGTTCTTACTCAGCACTTTAACTCGCAGGAAAACAATATAACAGTATTTCAGTGCGTACATAAAATGAAACATGAATATACGTAAATATCTCCGTCTCCGTCTAATGAGGCCGAAAATCCGCCATGTTTAGCGCGCCAAATGTCATTGTCACGTCAGTTCGGCCGTCTGTTTTGGGTTGTACATTATTTATTGACTTTGATATCGATTTAATATGATTGATTATATAAAATTTCATAATTTATCATGCTTAAAACATACAAAAATAATAATTAAAACGTATTTTATAGGATCTCAAGAAAGTCGATGTCCTAAAACTATTATCTATATGTATTTAAATTCATTATGGAGCCCTCATCCGAAAAATCCATTTTTCGGTCGGAATCTATTGATCATGACACTAATCATAAATACCACTTTAAAATATGTCATCAAAACATATTTAGACATTCTGTTTAGATATTTCGGGAAAAAGGCTACCGACAAAATCTCTTCGGAACTATTTAAATAAAATAGTTTTATTCCGCAGTGAGTAAAACACTATTGTAAATTTGTTAAATATTTAATAATTAAGTGATTTTAGAGAGGAAGTCACAAGGAATGACGTTTGTAATTAATGAATAAATGTTCTGTAGGTGTTTTTTTTTTCACGCGGTCCCTTGATAAGTTTAAAATTTGAATCACTCTCAAGCGAAAGTGATTCAAATGGTGCGGCGCACCTTCCTTGGGGTGCGCTGCGGTAGTATGTTACGGACTTTAGAGTCAGCAAAACAATTAAAATAGATTGTAATAGTCTAAGAAAAACACGTACTCAAAATACGATAACATTTAGCATGCTAGAAATGGGCTGATGGCTTTGAACTACGCCATATCTTTATGTTTTGCGACAAACGACAACTTTATAAAATCAGTGTAGCAACTTTTAAAAATCATCATATCGTTTACTTGGCAAATTCGAAGGACGAACTTGTCTTAGATTTCACCCATCTAAATCATATCATATTTGCACATAACAATATACCTACTTACTTCCCATTAAAGTATAAATTCTACAAATAAATAATACTCAACAATATTTAAAATAAAATGAGCCAAGAACGTTTATCGATAAAACCTGATAACATTGAAATCTTTTGTACAGCACTAAAGCCGCCATGTTTTGTGGCCAGATGACGTCACAGTGGCACGAAATTTTGGTTGACGTTTCATTTCCATAGGTTTCCTACTTCATTGGATAAGACACATTTTGTATCAAAATACTTAGGCTAAATTACAATAATATTAATGGACGGATTCATTTGAACAATCATGATTATTGGTGAAAAATAATTACCAATGCTTTTTTTCTAGTTAAAATAATGTTCTGTTAATTTTTTTCATAACAAACTTTTTTTTTTCTTTTAAGCGCGCAAAAAATTTACAGCGTTACAAATTATTTTGAAGGAACTTTTTTTTTACTAAATTATGTAACGTAAATTTGCTGTGCTCCTGGTTTAATTATACTTTAAATTGTAATAAAACCTTACTTCATAAATCAAGACGCTGATCTATTTTGAAAAGTTCGATTTTAGCAACGAGGGCTTCAAATTTAAATTTTATTTAGTAATACAGTAAAAAATTTAAAAAATAATTTTTCAGTAAACGGCCCAATATAATACTTAAATAGTTTTTTTTTTAAATATGCTAAGTCTCGTGATTCTGCTCCATTTTACACCCCTTGTGTCTTAGTAAACAGTAAGTCACCATTATGACACGCTTACATGTGATGAAACACTAGGTTTACAAGTGGAACGATTCGCGCGGACTGAAAAGTTACATTAGCAATGGCCGTAAAAAAGAAGATTACACAGAACTATAAAGTGAGCAATTTTTCCTTTTTTTGACATAACAATAAAGTATTTTACATTATTCTTATTTATTAACGCCATGAAAATATCTACTCGTGACAAAAAAGAGTGCCTCTAAGCAACTATGTCTAAATTTTTTTTTGTTAATTTGCTTCCTTACAGAGATACAATTTAATTTTCGCGCCAAAAATATATCGTTTTGCTAAAATTCCTTCAGTGCAGTTAATCTATGCAAGAATATCCTTAAAGTTTTTATTATGGAGGGTAGAGGTAAGGAGAACCGTCTCATATGGGAGAAGCTTGAAAAAGTGTCCCCTTTCAGCACTAAATAACAGTTCGAAAATGCTCTACAATGGCGCTAGCTTACGGCCTGGCCACGGGGATCGGCGGTGCGAACAGCGAAGCGGTGGGCGAGGCGACCATTCGCGCAGCACCGTTTGCAGGCCACGGGTACTCACGTTCGCCGCCGCGACTAGTAAGGAAGTCCGACAGCGAAATGTCTATATCGAAATTATCTCGATATTGCTTACAAATTAATAGTTTTTTGGTTCAGGACCTATTATTTGGAAAAGATTGTGAAGTACATGATTTGAATAAGAATCGGAGTATACCTATAGATGGAGAATTCCACAAGAAGTACGAGAAATACTTTGGGTGGCTAGACTTCCAAATAGCTGGTCTAGCTAGTATTTCAGCTATTTTATTTTTTTATTGCTTAGATGGGTGGACGAGCTCACAGCCCACCTTGTGTTAAGTGGTTACTGGAGCCCATAGACATCCACAACGTAAATGCGCCACCCACCTTGAGATATAAGTTCTAAGGTCTCAAGTATAGTTATAATGGCTGCCTCACCCTTCAAACCGAAACGCATTACTACTTCACGGCAGAAATAGGCAGGGTGGTAGTACCCACCCGTGTAGACTCACAAGAGGTCCTACCACCAGTAATTACGCAAATTATTATTTTGAAGATTTCATTTTTATCACACGATGTTATTCCTTCACCGTGGAAATCAATCGTGAACGTTGAGTGTTGTTGAGTACGTATTTCATTACAAAAATTGGTACCCGCCTGATATTCGAACACCGGTGCATCGCTCAACACGATTGCACCGGACGTCCGTTAGGCCACGACGACTTTAAAAATATAAAATAAAAAATAAATAAAAAATATAAAAATTTCGGCGTTAATTTTTCGCGGCGAAAACAACTAAACTCATTTAATCACTGCACTATTCGCCGCGACTACCGCTCGACTCCGTGGCTCGCGCCGTCCGTATTCATGCATTTGTTTTGCTCGCCCGCCGCATCGCGCGATTCGCTCGGTACATTTCGCCGGTCGCTTCGCCGGTCGCCGGTGCGCGTGGCTTGTTAGGTACATTTCTATGCGCTTGTTTTAGTCGCTAGACGCTTCGCCGTTCGCACCGCGCGAATATTCGCATCGGCGAATGTCCCGTGGCCAGGCTGTTAAGCACAGGCTATGATATGAATTGAGCAGTTGTCAACTGATTGAAGTATGCTGAGTTAGGAAATTACATATATGTAATGACTAGAGTAATTAGTGACAGTGTCATATACAAGACCTCACATGTTTACGTAGTCCAAACTAATTTCGTCAATATAACCTAAAATTATTGCTGTGGTAAAACGTGGAGACATCGATTGCACATTCTTATCGGCTTTAAATAAAATACTTTTTGTGATTTTGTAGTGCTTACAGTGCTTTCGTCGTTTTTTATTTCTCTATCTTATTCTAATAACTTTCAACGCCTTTTTTAAATTTACCCGGTTGCTACTGTAGCGCCATCTTTATTTAGCAGATTTTAACGGACACTTTTTCACACACAGAGACGGTTCTCCTTACCTCTAGCCTCCATTGTTTTTATGCAGATGCTGGCTATAAAAAATTTAAAAGCATTTTTGAGTATACGCTTTGAGTGACGCTTGTAATTTATAGACTGTATGGTCGCATAAAAAGTCTTATCTTGATATAGCTGTAGAAGAAATGTTGCCAGATACAGATGCGTGTTTTTTTTTTTTTTTTAATTAACAATTTTTCTAAATTACTTTAGATTCACAATGAAACGAAACATTATATAAAAAACTGTGCGATTTGTACTCGAAATTATTAATAATTATAGTGTCCGACATAAAGTTTGTTTGTTTATTGAAATAGTTTTCTTAAACACGAAAAGATTATGATAGCGAATAGAGATGTTCTCAGGATATCAGCGTCTGTGAAAAAAAAAAAAACGATGTATAAATCGTGGCCTAAAGGATCAGACGTCCGGTGGTTGCACCGGTGTTCGAATCCCGCAGGCGGGTACCGATTTTTCTAATGAAATACACGTACTTGACAAACGTTCACGATTGACTTCCACGGTGAAGGAATAATATAACGTGTAATAAAAATCAAACCCGCAAAATTACAATTTGCGTAATTACTCGTGGTAGGACCTCTTGTGAGTCCGGACAAGTAGGTAACACCGCCCCACCTATTTCAGCCGTGAAGCAGTAATGCGTTTCGGTTTCAAGGGTGGGGCAGCCGTTGTAACTATACTGAGACATTATATCTCAAGGTGGGTGACGCATTTACGTTGTAGATGTCTATGGGCTCCAGTAACCACTTAACATCAGGTGGGCTGTAAGCTCGTCCACCCATTTAAGCAATAAAAAAAAAACCTAGAACCTCCGCCCATAGGACCTGCCGAGCCTATGGGTGGAGAAAAGCGAAAAAAAAAACCCTAAACGTACCGCTGCAGGCGTGGTCTTTCTCTTTGAATCCGCTGTCGGTGTCGCATAGACAGATCTTCTCCTGGGGCGAGTGGACGTAGAGATGGGCTGGAGCCGTCGAGGTTATGTTCGGGACGCCGCAGATCAATTCGTCACCGCACTCGTCGCTGGTCGCGCAGACGTGGTACAGAGCTGAAGCAGAGTCGAAAGCTTAGAGAGATGTATGCAGGACACCTGGTGCTTGGTGAGGCCACGAGTCGGGTTGTAGTGTTGACCGCGGGAACACCCCTACTCTGACCGGGTTTTGACTCCGGATGGAGATCAGACGTAAAGTGTGAGAGTGCAGGTGAGTCGTTTAGTGCGATAAGGCCCTAAGAATACCCGCGGTCTCGCAATCGCGGACCAATCCTACATACCCCACGCGCACTCTAGGCGCGGAGATTTCATAGGAGGTTCAGCCCCGGGCCAAAAAAAAGAAGATATGGACCTATTTTAGTGGGGTCAACGATCCGGTTCAATAGCCCTAATATAACGAAGGTTTCTTTGTTAGAATACCTCGTGTTCAAGTTCGGTGGGTTAACGGTAGGCAACGACTTGACTCTGCTCCTGACATTGCAGACGATCATGAGCGTTGGTAGCCAAACACAAGAAAGAAAGAAAGAAAATGCTGCGCGTATAACTTGGTGCACGTAAAAGAAGCGAAACTTCTTTTGCGGTGTGTTTGTGGTTTTCTTCATTTCTCATCCTTAAATCATATTTCTCTTGTAATAGAGAATGCTGTGTATAAAAGAAACATATAGCTGTAGGTAAAAAATACATACATATATTATATGCAATTCTTTTTATCTATTCGTCGTGAGTACTTCAGTCTATTTGTACAGAATTATAAATTAATAGTGGACCGCCCAGACTTCGCTTGGGTAGTAGCGCATGCGATGTAAAGAATTTTAGGTATTTTTTTTACACATTTTTCTGTATGCACCTGTTTTGAATTGCAATCCAGATTGTTATAATAAATATTGAAGCTTATAAATTCTATGGTTGTAATTTGTTTTGTGCATCAATAAAGGAAATAATTGTAAATAGACATGCTTTAACAAAAACCGACTTCAAATAGAAAAAAAGAGTTATTTCCAAAACAAAACAATATAAACTAAAAATCATAATCATCAAAATCGTTTGGCCTGATATGAAGTTATTGAGTTATTCATCTATTTGTCGCGCACGTACTTAATGCAAATTTAAGACTTATATGAATTTTCTCATGGATACCATTATCAGAACTGGACAGCTTTCTAATAAAAAAAAGAATCATCAAAATCGATTCACTCAGTCAAAAGTTATGAGGTAACAAACATAGAAAAAAAAGCATACAGTCGAATTGAGAACCTCCTCCTTTTTTGAAGTCGGTTAAAAAAAATGATATGTATGGAAAAGGGTAATGATTGGTTGTACTCACATTTGGTCTGCGCTTCACACTGCCCGTTGACGGGAGGCGAGTTGTCGCCGCACAAGCAACGGGTCGCCGAGTCGTAAGGCGTTCTAACGCACGAACTGCCGCTAATACCGGCGCATTCCGACTGATGAGAACATGATCTGGCTGAAAAACGTAGGTCGAATAGAAAAAATAAAAACGTTTTGAAGCTTGCAACACTTGCAACGGATAGTAGAAAATTTCAGTGAATTTATTACGAAAAAAAAAAATGTTAAGTAATATTTTTGTTGAAGGCTTGCAACATTGGGTAGGTAAATGGTAGGTATATTGAGTTGAATAAAAGAATTAACGCTTTCATTTTTTTTTAGATTATTTTTCGCGCTTATTTGATACGAGATTTTTTACCGCCGAAAATAGGACAATAAAAATAATAAGTGGTTAACTTAAAGCTGTGTAAGCCGCTGCAACAATTAAACTCCTATTGTTTCGACTGTGGTGTTAATTACGAGCGATCCAAAAACACGATTTTCACGCGAAATAAAGACTCTATTCGGACTCTCTCAGGTATCACAGAAATAGATTCATTCTCAGTATCGTTTGGATTTGTCTCTCCCGGAGTCTACTAGATCATCATATTGGCCTTACAGCCCTGGGTGGGCCTTAGCCTTAGCTAGTAGGTATGTCTCTCCAGACTGCTCTGTTCAGGGCTTTCTCCTTCCAGTTCCTGACACCGATAACTTTGAGGTCGTCATCTAACCATCAGAGTTTGGGTCTAGTCTACTATTTTTTTTTTTTTTTTTATTGCTTAGGTAGGTGAACGAGCTCACAGTCCACCTGGTGTTAAGTGGTTACTGGAGCCCATAGACATCCACAACGTAAATGCGCCACCCATCTTGAGATATAAGTTCCAAGGTCTCAAGTAAGTCAAGTAAGTTACTAGATATTCCGGAGCTTTTATAACAAAAATCGACATGATTCAGTGCGCCGCGTAGGACACCGGTGACCTACACGCCAGTCAAAGGGGTAATAAAGTTACAATAGCGGCCTTTCGACTTGAAGAATGGCTTTGTTTGTGAATAATAGTGTAGTTCGTAACAGGAAGTCGCTTCCGTGACCTCCTATGCAACCTCAACTTCAGGGTTGCCGCGGCACTGACATACTCTAGACGACGCTTCTAAAGATAGCTTCAGAATTCATTTAACTGAATTTATATTTGTAGCAACAGCGTATGTAACTGAAGTTCAAAAAATTATCATATCGAGGGGTGAAGGGTTAAGGTTATGAAGGCTAAAAATTGTTACCCGCCTGCGGGATTCGAACACCGTTGCATCGCTAGATACGAATGCACCGGACATCTTATCCTGTAGGCCACGACGACTTGTTGCGGAATGGAGTCAATAATCCCTTGGCACTACGGCAAATGACACTATTCGTTCCGCAATAGTATGCGCGGGCGGGAGTGCGCCACCGCCACTTATTCGCGGCGTTGGTGGGGCTGAGGACCCGTAGAGCTAGGAACTGTCCAGCGGCCAGGGCAATTACGTTTTTAAACGCATTTCTGTCCGAAATCCAGGATACTGACGTGTAAGCCTGACTTTGTATTGAATTTAAAAAATTAATAAAAATAAATATGTACACAACCCTTAAATGTTAGGTTAGATCTAAGATTACACCTTGGCGCCTAATTGGCCTGTGTAAATTTCGTGGCGCGGTTATCTTACAGCGCCATCTGTGTTCGTGGGCCAATAAACTGGGTTAAGGGTTTAATATTTTAATGAGCAACCCTGAGGTACAGGCTTTTCATCCGAATCAGTTTTTAGAATATTTAATAAATAACCTAACAAATCAATTCGTTGTTAACGTGCTTTATTCAATTTGAAGTCAGTAGCTTAGCGTTAATGTTTATGATGGAAAAGAAATACGATAAGAAAAACAGAAGGTCCCTCTTTTTATGAATGAAGGATTACAGATGGCCCAGATGCCTCTCCAGTTTCAGTAGGTCAGGTCGAAGGTCCCTCCCTATAGCTCGTTGCGATGGACGTACACACTACTGGAGATAATAAAATGTTGGAGATGAGCTTTTCAAATCGACCTTTTTTTTTCTTCTTTCTCTTCTTCTTCTTTTCTTTTAGTAGCTTAAGCGATTTTTTCAGCTTCTCACAAACGGGTAGGTGAGCTCACGGGCTCAACCTGAGAGAATACCTAACACTGGCCCTAGCAAGAACCATGCTTCGTAAAATCTACCACCGGATCGGAAACACGACCCACTTAAAAGATCCGACGAGAAACTCAGTGGGCTGTGGGTTAGTTCGCTCGTCGAACCCTTAGACGAGATATGTTTTGGGTAATAGCGACTTTGCTTCGCCCCTCGCCTAATTCGGATATGTATCGTGTCACACCATTTTGTTGAATCAGCGTTTTCCCTGAAAATGGCGCTGAGAGTGCCTTCAACCACAACCTTATATCGTTTTGACGCTACTTTCTGATGCCCACGGGCTCGACTGTGCATAAAATTAATCGCAATGCAATAGAACAGCGTTTTCGCATGACATATCAGCTTTTTTTCTGTAATAACAGAAGCAAAAGGCTCAGGAATATGATGCCAATATATACCCCTTCATGAGAGCTGTAAACATTATTAGAGTTGCCCCCGCATCGCGTGCTTCGCCTCGCGTGCCAAACTCTAACCAGCATTTATATAAGGAAGAGTATGCTTAATCAATAATTTTGATTTGACCTCGAAACCTTTTCATGTCCTTTAGTCGCCTAAGTCTAGGGCATTGAAAATCATTCCCGGGACCCTCGTGCTCGGAGACTTACAATCGTATTACCGGTCAGCATGTTTTTGGAACGAAAACACTTAAAACACAACTAGAGCTTGATAACTTGAAATAGACAGAGACAAACACATAATTCTATCTGAGAACGAATGAGATAAAATACTTCTGAATGTTTCGCTTCTACAGATCGTCTGCTGCACACGTGTAACACCGAATTGCTAATTAGCATATTCGTAGTAAGTCAATCTGGCAAATGCACGCCTTTTTAAGTGAATCGGAACAAAAGATGCACTGATGGAGGGAGCATTTGCCAGATTGACTTACTACGAATATGCTAATTAGCAATTCGGTGTTACACACGTACTTTCTACATTATCACCTTGTTTTCTGGCAAATGTCTTTCAAGAACCCTGCGGAGCCTAATCCAGTATTAGATTATGTTGCTAACTGCGTTTATAACTGTCGAAGTAAGAAATGGGAATTCTCAGGGTCACACTTAATAAATAATAAATAAATATTAATATTTACTAACAGTCACGCCACGTTAACTGGTCCCGTGGTAAGTTCGTAAAGAACTTGTGTTACAGGTACCAGATAACGGAAGTAAATATAAGATTTTTATTATACACATACACATATCTATATCTATACTTCTATATCTATACTTCTATATCTATACTTCTATATCTATACTAATATTATAAAGAGGAAAGATTGGTTTGTTTCGAATAGGCTCCGAAAGTACTGGACCGATTTGAAAAATTCTTTTTCCATTAGAAGCCGACATTGTCCCTGATGAACATAGGCTACTTTTTTTTTAATTTTTTTTTTTTTTTTTTTTTTATTTCTGGTGTGTTTTAATGTTTCCGAAGCGAAGCGAGGGCGGGGCGCTCGTTTAATATACATCCATAACCCTGGAAAATACATTTATATTTATTATACAAATATCTTCCCATGGCGGGATTCGAACCCGCGACCCCCTTGTGTAGTGACCATGTCACTTACCACTACACCAGACGGCCAGACTTAATTAATCAAATATGACATTAGACATTGTCTGTCAAAGCCAATAGATGTCAAAACGATATTTAGGTACCAATGATTAATGACACCTTTGCCTCATTTTGTTGTTAAGCTCAATTATTTCAATGGCTTCTTTTGTGTTATTATTACTGTGACCATTTGAACTGTTTTGGCCGGACAGTTGTGTTTTTTAAAACACTATCCGTTTTTTGACGTGATAACGTCTTAAAAATCGATGAACGCCGGCTGCACATATGAAAAAGTGTCACGTTCCGTCCGAGCCTGAGCGTGCGAGCGAGAGCGCAGAAAGAGCGATAGAGAGGCACGATGGGCCCAGGCTTTGGGTGAATATGGATCATATTATAAGGCCATTGTTTTTTAATAACCAATCTCGTGTTAATGAGCGTATTAATATTTTTCTATAGGTTTTTTTTGTTGCCCGTGTAGGAAGACGAGCATACGGTCCACCTGATGGTGAGGGGCTACCGTCCCCCATGGACTTCAGCAATGCCAGGGGCAGAACCAAGCCGCTGCCTACCGCTTAATACTCTCCACAAGCCTCGTTTGAAGAAGGACATGTCATAGCGCTCGGGAAACACAGTGGAGGGGAGCTTATTCCATAGCCGGATGGTACGTGGCAAAAAAAGACCTCTGGAAACGCACTGTGGATGACCTCAGTGGCTCCAGGTAGTATGGGTAAACTCTACTCCGGTGGCGGGCGGTGCGATGGTAAAAACGAGATGACGGTATCATTCGAACAATTCCTCAGAGCACTCCCCATGGAACATACGGTATAAAATACAGAGGGAACCGAAGTCCCTCCGCAGACCCAGAGGTTCCAAACGATCTTGTCATGAACGAACATTGTCTGTCAAAGCCAATAAATGTCAAAACGATATTTAGGTACCAATGATTAATGACACCTTTGCCTCATTTTGTTGTTATGCTCAATTATTTCAATGGCTTCTTGGCAGCCCCAGCCCAGAGATGTGAGCAGTACTCCACGCGAGGCCGGACTTGTGGTTTATAAAGCAAAAGTCTTTGTCCAGGCGTGAAGTACCGCCTCGCTCTGTTGAGGACTCTCAGTATTTTGGACGCGAACTTGGCTTTGCCTTCTATATGACTCCGAAATTGGACATCACCCGAAACGTCGGCCCCAAGTATCCCATTTGTTCCTTGTCCTGTTTTTTTAAAGCAAAAATAATGGCTACCGTATTTATTATAGAAACAATATGGCGTTTTCTCTGTTCGCAATGTGGACGCGTTCTTTCGTGGTTATCGATTGAATGGTAAGACACGAAATCGTAACAAACACAAGTTCTCTTTCGTATTTACAATAGTAGTCTGCGAATATTGATAGGTTGAATGTGTCATTTTTTTGTGTTTCATAATATATGGAAAATTTTGACAGTAGGTACCTGCATGTTCCCTTAAATTTCGCCGTCTGTAATTTTTATATGAGCAATTTATTTATTGAAACCTGAACATTTAAGACGTATTAATTTTAAAAGAATGCGTTAATTCTTTTATTGATTTTCTGAAATAAAAGTTTGAGTGGTGATAAGTAATGTTGATCAAAAGAACTTCAATTCGGATGTCGAAACTTTAAAAAAAAAGAATTGCCATAGTACGTAAAATGTCACGTAAGGAATATAGAAAAAAAACTGTTTTAACAAACAATAATTTTTAAATTTCAAACACTAGTTTATAGTTTAATTTAAAATATACACTTACTCAGCACTGACGGCTCGCTGGCTTAAAATAACGCTACAAAAACATGCTATTTTCTTTAAGCGAATTATAACTAAGTGATAGCACACTAATCATTTGCGGTTTACCTACAAGCAGTTTTGTAACTCCGGTGCTCTAAGCGGGAGCATGCTACTGATACAGTTTCTAATCTTACCTGGTGGGGTGGTTGGCCCTACTGGTTTAGGTGGTGGCGTGACGCTTTTTCCGAACGTCGTCAGCGCCTCTGACGACTCCCCGATGAACCACGCGGTGAGCAACAGCGGTAATATAGCCGCGATCGCTTGCCGTCTACACCACATCTCGATGCGAGCAAATACACGCATACTTATTAATCACAGAGTCCCTTAATTTTAAGTTTTTTTTCTTCTTTTGTTTGTTTTTGAATTTCGTGCTCTGATTATTTCGAAATTGAATAAATAATCGAATTAATTGCGTTTCGAATATCAAATTGAGAGCGTGATGTTTTTGTTAAAATGCCGATTGAAAGAAAGCGTCTAAACACAGATTCGAAGTTTCATATCAAGATGTGGTGTAGGAAGTATGGGTGTTTTTTTAAATTGTTCTTCGTTTGTTTTGTCATGGAATAATCACGTGAAATCGTTTAAAATGGCGCAGAGTTCATTTCGTTATCTCAAATCCGCGAACTATTGTACTTTATTTACATTATCGACTGTTTAATTTGGAATAAAAATTTTATGTTCTGAACGTTTAGCTCCGAAATTTCGACTTGTCCACAAGCTGCCAAAAGGGAAAGTCGTGTAATAAGTAATAATGTATACAAAGAACGAATAAGTTATCTGTTTAAAAGTCGGTATGAGAATACGACTAACTATCAAAGTTACATGATCACATGAAGCTTTGCTTTTCAGACGAAGCTTATCTTCAGATGGTGCTTCAGCTTAAACTCCTCAAGCACTCAGCGGTGCTTACCTAACGTTGACAAAGCTCCACTGGCGGCGAAATAACAACAGCTAGCCCCGATTCAACGTAGTTTGATTCTAAAATTGTGGCCGCTATTGTTTCGGGCGTTGGATAATTAACTTAAGTAGCACCGCCAATGGGAATACGTTCACAACAGTCAAGCATACACAGTGTTTTAACAAAGCGTGTTTTTTTTTTGCAGTGTAATCTATTGCTGTTGTCTTACCCGGTGAAGCGGTGGTCGTCGCAGGCCTAGGCGGTTCGGTGTTCGCTTTACCGAACGACGATATACCGAACGCGTCGGTCGCTGGCATTCTCAACCATCCGACCGTCAGTACGGCCATAACCGCGAATAGTTTTGATGGGAACATTTTTATCGAAGCTTCACGCTGATTTAAATGAAAATCTGTAGTTATCAGCTTTCGTAGGCAGAAGTGAGAATGCAATCTATAACACCGCTGTTAAGAAACCGTTAGCAATGCCGAAGCGTTGCGAACGGGCCGACATATTTTGTTGCACACGGTATTTTATTGCGGATTGTTTTTCCTTTTTTTCTATATATATATATGTATTAAAGCGGTGGTTTTTTTTTCCTATAGCTTGTGTTAGTGGCGTGCTTAACTTTACCTAATTACAAAAGTTATTTAATTACGTTCTATAGTACAGTATGCTCTATGTACATATCGTAATCACATGGAAATCATTATTGACCCTTTTTTTTTTTTTTTTTTTTTTTTTCCGGGTAGAGGGCCGAACCTCCTACGAGGTCCTATATTATAAATTTAAATTGAAATCTATATTGACCCTGCCAGATGGATTTTCAGGAGGTCATTTCATTACGATGATTAAGATAGAAATAGAAATAAATACGTATTACAAATGTCACGTAAATTGCCGTTATATACAAGCTTCGTTGCCATAAAGTAAACAAACGTGATAGTATTTATTAAAAGTAATTTAAAAACTTTATTATTTACAAAGTATATTATGTAATATAATTCGGAGAGATATTGAGTGATTATTTTTTTTAAATTTCCTTGTTGACAATAAAATTTCGTTTTCAAATTTACAAGGCATAAAATAAAACAGTAAAAGTTTTCAATTATGTTACATAATCAGTTTTAAGGACAGTCAACACTGGGTTGAAATTCGCTGTGTCTCTTACCAGTAGCTAGTAGAGAGTTAGGAGACGGGGACGATGATGGTTTCTCTGTCTTAATAACGCCGAAAACAGGACTAAAAACAGCGTTATTACGTCCGAAGTTGATCCATAGTAACATTGTCGCTAAAGCAATCTTTTGTTGCATTCTCATCATGATTGTAAGACTGATATGGTTTTTCTGAAATCGTTACGAAACATTATTCTGTCATTCGAATTGAAAACCGCCTGCGCGCACGAAAAAATGTCACGTTCCTCCTGAGCCTTAGCGTGTAGGCGAGAGCGCGAAACAAGCGATAGAGAAGCGCGATCGGCCTTTTTTTTTTTTTTCTCCGTGACGTGTTTGTGAGCTCACAGGGCTCAAACCGGGAGTGTTGCTAACACTGGCCCTAGCAAGAGCAGTGCTTCGCAGAATCTATCACTGGATCGGAAACGCGACCCACTGAGAATATCCGACGAGAAACTCAGTGGGCTTGATAGGCCCAAGCGTTGGCTTATGACACATTTATTTCTCTTCTCGCGTGACATCAGAGCTAACAGTTCGTATATTTCTGCTAATGACGTTGTTACGTAAAACTGTCGTCCGTAAAATGATTTTACAGACAATAATTTTTTTCTGTTTACTTTGATTGCCGATAAATATGATTGCACCTAATATTGTAAATGTTCACCGCTATCTATTGAACGCTTAAATCGCTACGCGTAAATCGTTTGAGAGGAACTCCTTATTAATGTCTTCATGCAAACCTTCACTAACGCACAGTTAAGTATTGTTTTATTTTATTAAGCATTTTCTTTTTATAATGGGACGAATGGCAATGTTTTATTACGTATTAATTTTACGTCCTGTAAAGAAAACGAAGAGAGAAAGGTTTATTTTGTAGTTAGTTAAAATCGTTCACACGTAAAACGCACACACAAACGCAAAATAAATTTCCATAAACATTCTGTGATCTGTGATATGTTTTATTTTTCACGCCAATTGTGCAGACACGCCTATACGTGGTAAATCGGTGCTTGGCTAACATGTGTTTTGTTTGTCCCATTATAATAGAAAATGCTTACCCGTCGGCGGTGTTGGCTTAGCGGCCGGCGGGCGCGTATTCGAAACTCCAAACGTGCTGAGGGCTTGATGCGATTCGCCGATAAGTCTCGCCAGTACGCCAAACAGAACAACGGCTAGTCGAACTCGAAACATCTTGGTTAGAAAACGAAAAACAATGGATCCGTATACTTATTAACGTACACGCTAATAAAATAAATATAAAAATACTAGCTAACCCAGCAGACTTCGTAGTGCCTAAATCGATAAATAAAAGATCTAAACTTTTGTATAAAATAAACTTGAAACAAACAAAACGAATCCGTCTGACGGGGGACACATCAAAGGAAAAACAAAATTGTTATATTTATTTTATTCCGAGCGTTTTCATATTTATCTGCCTTTTAAGCCTTCTCTGGACTTCCACAAATAATTCAAGACCAAAATTAGCCTAATCGGTCCAGCCGTTTTCGAGTTTTAGCGAGACTAACGAACAGCAATTCATTTTTATATATAGATAGAAGATAATGTAATATTTTGGGATAAAGTGAAGTTACAAACTTTTGGCACGAACAGCAATTCATTTTTATATATAGATAGAAGATAATATAATATTTCGGGATAAAGTGAAGTTTATTCGAGAAACTGTAATAGACATCTAATATAGTGGTCGGCAACTCGCGGCTGTTTGATCCCTCAGTCGCAGCTCTCCCGTGAAACATTTAGTCCAGACACGGAATATTATTTAAATAAAGATACACGATAAAAAAAAACGACTCTGAACATATTTCAATGGTCCTTTTGGTTAACAAGTTCGCCGACCACTGATCTAAAACATTAGATAAAGCGTTTTGGTCGTTATCCGTGTATGACTGTTTACATGATTAAATCGAGTTTTACTGTTTAATCTCTGTGACCTACTACGAAAACTTTATTAATTACGCATAAATAAGAAAAGAAAAAAAAATTTTTAAATGCAATTTTTAAAATCCTATTATAGAAGTTTTACAGAATGCCTTCATTCATTAGTGTTGCGAAGAAAAATCTCTCCGAGACTTTGTCTTTTTCACAAGTTGCATCATTTTTATGCTTTTTTGTAACACAGGCCGAATGGCGCGCTAGGTTATACATTAAATTATGTAGTTTCTTTTAACTATATTATTATTTTGTTACATTAACGCGTTCTTAATATTTACACTAAGATTTCGAAATAAAGGGACAAATTAATAAACGAATACAAAACAAAATTAATATTTCTCGCATTGCGATTCACACTCTCAATTTTATTAACGTTCTATGTCTATTGGAATTGAAAATGGCGGGCGGTTGTCAGCTAAGATTCTATTTTTAGCGAGAGAAAAAAAAACGTTGGATTGGTTTACATGCGTTCGTTTATCTTAAAATTAAATGAAGATTTTTTTTTTATTTCTAAATAAAATATTCACGTTTAGAATAAATGTTTTGTATTTATGAGTCAGATTTGCTTTTTCAACTATTGTTTGATAGTTCGAACCATTGTTTTCAAGTAGATGTAACATTATTATATATTATTAGCTTTTTGGAGTGTATCTAGCGAGGTTATTCGATTTCATGTACAATGGTATGGCCTGGTACAATGAAATATCATTATGTAATGATATTCCGTAACAAAGCGATTGAAACACGACTCATAAAAACAAAATAAAAATACGATAATACATCAAGAATACATTTGCAAAAGTTGAAATTCCATGTTGTTTTACATTAATATTAAAAAAATAAAGTGTAATTACATAATTAAGTATCAATTAACACTTCGACCACAATGTATATTCATATTTTTGTTTAAAAACATTAAAAAGTATCATTTAAAAAGAAAATTGAAAAAAAACATTTGAATCTTGTTAAAGGCGAACCACATCTTAATTTTTATTTTCTTTCGGACACAGATTACAGAGGCAACGATATTTCTCCCTACCTATACGCTGGTACCCTGTGGCGGTAGCCATCATACAATACAATATATTTGACAAATGTCTGAATCTCGCTTACGACACTTTCAAGATAAGCTTGCATATATGTATACAAGTTCCGAACAACAACATTCGGACCCTCGGTCTACCGAACACTACCACTCGCTCGGTGGAAGATCTTGCCTTTGTCGTATAAATCTACAAGCCTAAGGGGCTATTCCCTCTTCTGAGCTCACGTGCTCAATCTGAGAGAGTTTCCTAACACTAGCTTCAGCCAGAGCAGTGCTTCGATGAATCTACCACCGGATCGGAATCGCGACCCTCTGAGAAGATTCGGTGAGAAGCTCAGTGGACTGTGTCTATTGGTTAGTGTCTAGGGCTTTTAGAGAGCTTAAAGCCGTGCGTTGCTTGCGACGGTGGCTTTGCGTTGCTCCGTAACGGTCGGACAAGCGATTCCCACATCCGGGAAACATTTTACAACACAATTAACAAGTTTGTTTGATCATCCTCTTATATGCGTTTACTATCTATCTATACTAATATATAAGTCTACAGTGGTTTTTACGGATGTTCCGTTATAACTACTGAACCGTGCAACCGATTGACTTGAAACTTAGTATCCATGTAGAAAATACATGTACTTAATGGATAGGCTAATA